GAAGCATGACTTCTTTCAGTTGATTTTCGTTATAATACCTTTGCACTCTGGGACAGCCCTTGTGGTATACACATAGTCCTGTGGGCATTTATTAAGTGACAGTCCTTATAATAGGAATTACTATCCTAGCCTCTTTCCTTCTGTTTCCCTTTCTTAAGCGCACCCCTTCTGCCAACTAGATGAAGAAACTGATCACATGGGAAAATTTTATATAATCTTTAAAGAACTGGATTCAGTTAATCATATGGTACAACATATGGAAAAGAAATGCAAAAAAGCAAAATGGCTGTCTGAGGAGGCCTTACAAATAGCTGAAAAGAAGAGAAGTGAAAAGCAAAGGAGAAAAGGGAAGATATTCCCATTTGAATGCAGAGTTTCAAAGAATAGCAAGGAGAGATAAGAAAGCCTTCCTCAGCGATCAATGCAAAGAAATAGAGGATACAACAGAATGAGAAAGACTAAAGATCTCTTCAAGAAAATTAGAGATCAGTTCAGTGGCTCAGTTGTGTTCGACTCTTTGTGACCTCATGAATCACAGCACACCAGGCCTCCCTCCTTTAGGATGCACTGGTTGGATCTCCTTGCAGTCCAAGGGACTCTCAAGAGTCTTCTCCAACACACAGTTCAAAAGCATCAATTTTTCGGCACTCAGCTTTCTTCACAGTCCAACTCTCTCAGCCATACAGGATTGCTGGAAAAACCATAGCCTTGACTAGACAGAACTTTGTTGGCAATGTAATGTCTCTGCTTTTTAATATGCTATCTAGGTTGGTCATAACTTTCTTTCCAAGGAGTAAGCATCTTTTAATTTCATGGCTGCAATCACCATCTGCTGTGATTTTGGAGCGCCCCCCCCCCAAAAAAAGTCTGTCACTGTTTCCACTGTTTCCCCATCTATTTCCCATGAAGTGATGGGACTGGACACCATGATCTTAGTTTTCTGAATGTTGAGCTTTAAACCAACCGTTTTCACTCTCCTCTTTCACTTTCATCAAGAGGCTCTTTAGTTATTTTTCACTTTCTGCCATAAGGGTGGCGTCATCTGCATATCTGAGGTTATTGATATTTCTCCCGGCAATCTTGATTCCAGCTTGTGCTTCTTCCAGCCCAGCATTTCTCATGATGTACTCTGCATATAAGTTAAACAAGCAGGGTGACAGTATACAGCCTTGACGTACTCCTTTTCCTATTTGGAAACAGTCTGTTGTTCCCTGTCCAGTTCTAACTGTTGCTTCCTGACCTGCATATAGGTTTCTCAAGAGGCAGGTCAGGTGGTCTGGTATTCCCATCTCTTTCAGAATTTTCCACAGTTTATTGTGACCCACACAGTCAAAGGCTTTGGCATAGTCAATAAAGCAGAAATAGATGTTTTTCTGGAACTCTCTTGCTTTTTCGATGATCCAGCAGATGTTGGCAATTTGATCTCTGGTTCCTCTGCCTTTTCTAAAACCAGCTTGAACATCTGGAAGTTCACAGTTCACGTATTGCTGAAGCCTGGCTTGGAGAATTTTGAGCATTACTTTACTAGCGTCTGAGGTAATTGTGCGGTAGTTTGAGCATTCTTTGGCATTGCCTTTCTTTGGGATTGGAATGAAAACTGACCTTTTCCAGTCCTGTGGCCACTGCTGGGTTTTCCAAATTTGCTGACATATTGAGTGCAGCACTTTCACAGCATCATCTTTCAGGATTTGAAATAGCTCAACTGGAATTCCATCACCTCCACTAACTTTGTTCATAGTGATGCTTCCTAAGGCCCACTTGACTTCACATTCCAGGATGTCTGGCTCTAGGTGAGCGATCACACCATCGTGATTATCTGGGTTGTTAAGATTTTTTTTGTACAGTTCTTCTGTGTATTCTTGTCACCTCTTCTTAATATCTTCTGCTTCTGTTATGTCTATACCATTCCTGTCCTTTATCGAGCCCATCTTTGCATGGAATGTTCCCTTTGTATCTTTAATTTTCTTGAAGAGATCTCTAGTCTTTCCCATTCTGTTTTTTTCCTCTATTTCTTTGCTTTGATCCCTGAGGAAGGCTTTCTTATCTCTCCTTGCTAGTCTTTGGAACTCTGCACTCAAATGGGAATATCTTTCCTTTTCTCCTTTGCTTTTCGCTTCTTTTCACAGCTATTTGTAAGGCCTCCTCAGACAACCATTTTTGCCCTTTTGCATTTCTTTTCCATGGGGATGGTCTTGATCCCTGTCTCCTGTACAAGGTAATATTTCATGCAAAGATGGGCTCGATAAAGGACAGGAATGGTATAGACATAACAGAAGCAGAAGATATTAAGAAGAGGTGACAAGAATACACAGAAGAACTGTACAAAAAAAATCTTAACAACCCAGATAATCACGATGGTGTGATCGCTCACCTAGAGCCAGACATCCTGGAATGTGAAGTCAAGTGGGCCTTAGGAAGCATCACTATGAACAAAGTTAGTGGAGGTGATGGAATTCCAGTTGAGCTATTTCAAATCCTGAAAGATGATGCTGTGAAAGTGCTGCACTCAATATGTCAGCAAATTTGGAAAACCCAGCAGTGGCCACAGGACTGGAAAAGGTCAGTTTTCATTCCAATCCCAAAGAAAGGCAATGCCAAAGAATGCTCAAACTACCGCACAATTACCTCAGACGCTAGTAAAGTAATGCTCAAAATTCTCCAAGCCAGGCTTCAGCAATACGTGAACTGTGAACTTCCAGATGTTCAAGCTGGTTTTAGAAAAGGCAGAGGAACCAGAGATCAAATTGCCAACATCTGCTGGATCATCGAAAAAGCAAGAGAGTTCCAGAAAAACATCTATTTCTGCTTTATTGACTATGCCAAAGCCTTTGACTGTGTGGGTCACAATAAACTGTGGAAAATTCTGAAAGAGATGGGAATACCAGACCACCTGACCTGCCTCTTGAGAAACCTATATGCAGGTCAGGAAGCAACAGTTAGAACTGGACAGGGAACAACAGACTGTTTCCAAATAGGAAAAGGAGTACGTCAAGGCTGTATACTGTCACCCTGCTTGTTTAACTTATATGCAGAGTACATCATGAGAAATGCTGGGCTGGAAGAAGCACAAGCTGGAATCAAGATTGCCGGGAGAAATATCAATAACCTCAGATATGCAGATGACGCCACCCTTATGGCAGAAAGTGAAAAATAACTAAAGAGCCTCTTGATGAAAGTGAAAGAGGAGAGTGAAAACGGTTGGTTTAAAGCTCAACATTCAGAAAACTAAGATCATGGTGTCCAGTCCCATCACTTCATGGGAAATAGATGGGGAGACAGTGGAAACAGTGACAGACTTTTTTTGGGGGGGGGGGCGCTCCAAAATCACTGTAGATGGTGATTGCAGCCATGAAATTAAAAGATGCTTATTCCTTAGAAGGAAAGTTATGACCAACCTAGATAGCATATTAAAAAGCAGAGACATTACATTGCCAACAAAGTTCTGTCTAGTCAAGGCTATGGTTTTTCCAGCAATCCTGTATGGCTGAGAGAGTTGGACTGTGAAGAAAGCTGAGTGCCGAAAAATTGATGCTTTTGAACTGTGTGTTGGAGAAGACTCTTGAGAGTCCCTTGGACTGCGAGGAGATCCAACTGGTCCATCCTAGAGGAGATCAGTCCTGAGTGTTCATTGGAGGGACTGATGCTGAAGCTGAAACTCCAATACTTTAGCCACCTCATGCAAAGAGTTGACTCATTGGAAAAGACCCTGATGCTGAGAAAGATTGAAGGCAGGAGGAGAAGGGGACGACAGAGGATGAGATGGCTGGATGGCATCACTGACTCGACGGACTTGAGATTGGGTAAACTCTGGGAGTTGGTGATGTACAGGGAGGCCTGTTGTGCTGCGATTCACGGGGTCGCAAAGAGTCAGACACGACTGAGCGACTGAACTGAACTGAACTGAACAACATAATTATGGAATCTGAAATTGGAAAGCCATCTCTTGTGCCTACCCTGGAAAAATACTTTAAATAAAAGTAAAGAAGTCCTCAATAATCCTTCAACTAACATAGGTTACAGTCACTGAAATCAGTTCTTTTATGTTTGGTGTAAATCCTTATTACTGCAGTGGAATTCTTTGACATGTCTCCTGTGAAAAGACTATTTAATATTGTTGTGAGTAGTGTAGGGCCTCAATAGAAAAAGCAGCTTTGTTTTCTTCAATGTTTTCATAACCACCTATATTCTTTGAAACATATATTTTTTCCTCTTCTGCAATTTTTAGTATAAAATGTTATCATGAAGAGAAGTGAATGATATCAGAATTCATTGAAATCAATCTTGGAAATTATTTGCCTCGAAGGATAAAGAGGGAAACAAATGTTCCCAGGCAAAGCCAAAAGACAGACTATGAAATTTTACTTGCCACTGGCCATCAAAAGTGACTATAATTTGGGTGAATGAAGAAACTAAACACTTGGCTGCCAAAGAGATGCTCCTGAATTCAAACTGAAAGCATGATCTAGAGCCTGGCGACATCACAATCTTTATAGCACTTCTTTACCAAAGAAGAGTTTAGGTTATACGGATTCTAAGCTGGAAATTCCTTTGCTACTAAGGAAACTTCCTTGAGAAATCATCTTCCTGATTCTATGTCCCAGATGACAGCACATCAGAAGATGAATGACCAAAAGAAATATCGAAGTCAGAAAGCTGCACACCATTCAGGCAAAATCTGGCTGGAGAGGAAGGCTGTTCGCATGATTAGTGAGCTTCCCCAGCTAGCCTGTAGGTGGGTGTGTTTAACAGGAGGAAGCAATGGGAACCCGCCTGTCAGCCAGCCTTTAGAGCTAATTAGCTCAGCATACAACAAAGATAAGTGAGCCTGGGAGGAGGGCCCCCTGAGGGGTCTTTAGATTCTGGGAAATGTCTGATTGGCAGATGTTAAAAGAGATTCTTTGGTAATCCTGTGCATCAATGAGCTGCACAAATTCAGACCAGGACTGCAAGAATCCAGGCATGAGGACACTGTGCGGCAGGCTCGCACAGGCAGACCCAAGATGGACAGAACCTTGGAATCCCTGAGACACATCATTGCCCAAGTCTTGCCTCACAGAGACCCAGCTCTAGTCTTCAAAGACTGTAAGTACTGCAGGGGAAAAAGTGTTTTTTTACTTTTTTAGAAAATAGTCCTAAATGTCTAGTCACATCTTATTTAAGTATGTTTTCTCCTAAATCTCTGTAGTCGTGTGCTGTGGTCTAAGTGGTATTTAACTTGTTCCTGACTTCAGTCAGGAGAATGATTTCATTTCACCTACGGGTATCAGTCGCTGGGTTATTTTTTTCAGTGATACATCTTACTAACCATTTAGAAGTCTGTCCTAAAGTCTAAGACTCGCCTCAGACTTGATGAACTTTTCCAGATGCTCTTTAAAATAAATCAAGGCTGATTGGTACTAGGATTAAAACAAAAAATAACTTGAAGACGATAATAAGATATATCCCCTTTTAAACCTGTTTAGTCCTCCATGCCATGTATTAGTTATGTTAAAAATGTACTGTTTGAAATGTTTTGTTGCAAACAAAAGTTAACAATATATCACCACTGAGCTCTTAAATTTTGATAACAAATGATAACATTTTAGTTAAAAGGCTAATAAAATAAGATGTCTTCCCACCTCTGCAACAAAACGTCACCCCCCCCACACACACACACACACAAACTAAACAACTATGCATGGCAGAGTTATTTCAAAATCTTTTTTTAATGATTATGAAAAATAATTCAATCAAGATTTCCAATTCTGGCAATACTATTAAACCATTTGTCATGTAACTTTGTTTCTGGAACCAATTTGATTTCCTGCTGCTGCAAGACAGACTATCTTCGCCTTGTATCTTATCTACAGTGGGGTTCATATTACAAAGGGCTTCTGAAACAGAACTTTGCTATGGAGCTGCCCAAAAGGTAAAATGCATATGGAATTTTTTTTTTTTTTAACTTCAATAAGTTACAGCTTTCTTCTTTGGGAATCTCATATGTTTGTCTCCATCTAAACATCAATGGTTTGGATTTTTGCTTTCTGATTGCTGAATAATGTTCGTTTCCAGATGTCCTTTTAGTTTATATTTCTCATATGTGTGATGAAGAAATGTTAGGCAATTTTATTCTATAAAATTTTCTTCCTAGAAATTAAATTGTAACCAATTTGCCCTCTAAGGCATAAAGTGAAAAATCTGCTCTTTTTTTTTCTTTCTTCTTTTATTTCTCTCTTGTTCTCTTGGCTTATTATTTTCTTGCTTTCTTTTAAATACTATCTTCAAGCATGTGTCAATAGCTGTGTTAGAACTAACAAAAATCTCTCCCCACCCACTCCAGTCTAGCCTGGAATCTATTCAGGTTTGGCATGTTTTTTTAAGTGAAGAGGCAAGGAAAGACTGCATATCTCCTACAGTAGCACTGAATTCACTAGTGAAGGGTAAAAGGGCTCTCGACCTAAGACTTTGGATAAATTGTAGAGGACCAGGGATCTTGTGCTGAGGGTTTGGATAGTGGAAACAGTAAAAAGGAATAGAGGTAAAATGTTTCACTGAGTTCATTGTGAATTTAAGAAATTTCATCTGAAATTATGTGGACCACTTTCTAAATCCCGGCAGCTGTTTATGGTTTACCAGAGAAAATAAGATAGTAAAGGGTTGAAATAAAGCATACATTGTGTCCTGTCATCTAGGCCTTTGTGGAAACTCTTTTATGCAGCAAAGAAAAGAAGTGTCACACATTTCATTTATTAACACAGAACTTAAATTTAATCAGAGAGCATTGCCTGCTTAGCCTAGAATGGACAGCCATTCTGCGACTACTTGCACGGCTTAATAGGCGTGAATTTTAACTACTGAGCCTCTCCCTTCAGGTGTTTCTAATCTGAAAAATGACTAAATGAAAGTAAGCCAAATGGCAGATTTCTGTGCCAGGGATTTTTACATTATCGAAACATCCAACCACTCACCATCTTCATGGAATAAATGGGAACAGGTTCACTTACTTGCTGAGGCGGACTTCACAAGGGCCTATGCCGTGCCTTGGCAACCTACCATGCATATGCCAGGGTTTAGCACATGGACTCATTTCCTTTGGCACACCCATAAGTTGCTGCCACCGCACTCCTGCTTTACACGGCCTGTAAAAAGTCACCATCAACCTTGAATAGCAGGTTCTAAGCAGCCTTCTCTCCTCTAGTCACTCCTGGCTCCTTTTCACCCATCCCAGGCCAGCCTCTTTTTGCCAGAAGGAAAGAACTGAGCACTTCAGCACATCACTGCCAATTCCTTAAGGAAAAATGCTAACTTGTTTTCCTACAAGATGAAAAGCCAGTTCAATGATGTTTGAAACCATGCACAGTTGAACAAAGGAGCACAGAAAAATAATAACATTCTAAAAGTGTCTGTCTAAATTTCTCTTCTGTAAATTCAAAGGTAGTTTTTTTCTCTTTTTATTTTTCTGAAACGTAAAATGCAAGAGAGATTAATTTGTTGCCCTCACTTGGCTTTCAATTTGTATAAAAACAAGCAACAGTAAACTGAATTTTCTCTTCAAATTGGTCAGGAAAAGTACCCAGAGAGTTTTCTGGTCTGAGACCAATGCACATGGGGATAGTTATATTCATTTAAGGAAATAAAATATGAATGCTTTTCTCAGCCAAGGAGGTCCTCCACGTGGTATTTTGTATTGCATTAAATCTCTAATTTGTTTTAGACAAGGTGTTCATCTGACAAAAGTTGTAATTTCTTTATTTTCTTTCCTGAAAGGAAATGAATTTTATGACACTTTCCCCCTTTTCTCTATTTCGAGTTTCAAATGAAAAATAATGGAAAGAAATTTTAAATGAGGTGGGCTCTGGTTTGTACTTTGTTCATCTAACCTGACTGCTCTCCACTGCCTGAATGTCTCCACTTTGTAACAGGTATCTCCAGGAGTCTGCACCGCCCAACAGAATCTCTTTGCAGAGGGATTAAGGCATATCTCCACGTTTCCTTCCATTCTTGGCTTTGTGCAACATCCAATTTCTTTCCTTGTGTCATGCATCACAACCAAAGATGAGCTATCCTGAAAGCAGCCTTTGTCAGCTTTCTTGAGAATTTGTGTGTAAGCTTACTGTCTGTTGGCCATAGTTTAACAGATTCTCACATGCTTGCCCAAAGTAAGTCACCGTGCCCTGATTTCAAGAAGTCTTCACATTCAGATCCTATCCTGTTGACTCTTCAAATTGCAAGGGCATCATAAGCTTATCTGCCATCTTTGGGATCTTTCTTCATGCATCATTAGTAATGCTAGAATGTCAAGCCCTCACCCCGTGATTAAGACACTATGCTAAGAACGTTTAATCTTCACAGCATGTCAACAATGTAGGTACTGTCGTGATTTATAGTGAGAGGACTGAAGTTTCTGGAGCTTAAAGGTGACCTGCTCGAGACCACACCTAATGAAATGATAGAGCCAGGATTCAAATCCTATCTTCCAACTTCTCACCTTCAGCCGATACAAGACATTGCGTCTCAGAAGAGTTATATTGCCACGTCATTTGTGCTGTCATGACAGTGTCTGTTAGGAAAACAGAGGTGGGACTGAAATGGACCTTTCTGGGTGTTTGGAGAGAGTCCATTAAATGAGCTTATCTGAGTGGCAGTGTAACAGGGGAGTGAGAGGGGAAGGGAATTTTGAGGAGAGAGAACAGTTTGCCGAAAGGCAGATCGGGCAATACAAGAACAGCGCATCAGGGAAGGTGGAGGCAAGGCTGAAAAGGCAGGTGGAATCACACCCAAGTGCAGGCAACAGGGAGCTGTTGGAATTAACAGTGATCCTAGATTAGTTCTGAAAGCATGGGGCCTTATGTTGTGTTGCGGAAAAGATTGTATTGACGTCTGTTGAAGGTACACTTCCTGATATTAAGTTGGGGAGAATGGCAGCTTTTTTACAGCAAGAATCCTTTTACCCGTTCAGGCAAGATACAAGAGTTGTAAATGTAAACATGCCTATAGGGAGAAACCACTTCCACTAAATAAAGCTGAAATTATGACAAACTTTCTCAGATAGTTACAAACGATCTTAGTTGTCACTGAAGCCCTGAGAGTGTGCTGGTTTGTAGCACTGATTTATAAAGTAATGTGTTAGATTTCACTAATGTTTCCCAAAATTTTGCAATGAAAACAAATTAGGTGGAACGTTTACTAAACATTGAACAATGAGAAGAAAAATTTCTCACATATTTGAAGTTTGTTAACTCTTCCATTTGAGGAGACACTTTTCTGTATGAAAGCTTATATTTATCCAAGTTAGGGGAACACTTCAAAAAGTACATTTTTACCCTTTGGAAAAATTGGACCAGACTATAGACCTATTAAAAATATCTTAGTAATCGTGATTCTGGCTGTATAGAATGCAAGAGAGGAAAAATTCTCAAGAGTCAAATATTTTCCCCGCCCCATGCTTTTTAGCATAGTTATCTGAAATCTGTACACTTGATGATACATTTATGGTTTCTTCATTTCACGTAAAGGATGGAGTAGGAAGTGAGAGATGAAGGCACTTGTGCAGTAAAATCCCTTCATGTATTGCGTGGCATTCCACCACAGAAAGTGTGCTGGAAAGAGCATGGTGAAAACACAAAAAACAAAAACCTCTACTTCTTGCTAGCTCATTTTGGATTAATGACTACATCTTAATTACAATAATTTGAACTCTGATAATTTTAGCATCTAAACTGTGGATGCCTGTTCTACTGAAGAAAACTATTCAAATGCTAGTTTTACTTTGTTGTAGGATACAACTATTTTTATTTTGACTTATTTCAAGAGAAAAATGCAGATTTCAGTTCAGCTATCTGTGGCATAAGCCCTGTCCTCTTCTCCTTTTTTCAATAAAGATACATTTGGCAGAGTTTAAATACTAACAGTCTCAGTGCAGAGGAAAATTTTTCAAAATGGAAAAAAAGGAAGAGGCTTCTTGATCACTTAATGGCAACATCTATCTTAATACATTTATTTCTTAATATATAAATAAGATTTAAACAAATCAAAAAGAATATTGACTGACACCCATCCTGTGATCAAGTCTGGTGCCTCTTCATGGTCTGCTGTCTCATCTC